TATTGTACATAATGTTATTGTAATAGTCTTTTAAAAGTCCTTGAATTTCAAAATTCATTTGTATAGTGCATTATTTCTCATAAACGTTTTATTTTAAATAATTATATAAATAGTAAATTATCGTAAAAGATATAATATAAATATATAATTATAGTTCGAAAAGTCAAACTAAACATTAATGAATAAATATATTTTGGTATATTATATTAATTTAAATAAATTAACTTAAAAATAGTAAATAAGGTTTAATATTTTAATAGATGTTATTTTATGTATATGATATAACTAAATGTTTATAGCTGTTATAGATTAAAAAAAAAAAACTAGTTATTTACTAAACACTTTATCACTACCAACATTGATTCACGTTGCTTATTAGGTATGTTAAATAAAGATAAAAAGTATTAATTAAATTAAATATCCTTGAATTGCCAACTTTAAAAGGATTTAAAATTACTTATTTGTCAATTCGTTCTTGTTTTTTGATTGCTCATCGAAAGATAAATTAAATGTCCATCATGATTCGTAAATAGATACATAACAAAATTGAAGGATTCGCGTAAAACTGTTCATAACGAATTAATAGTATTTGATGAAATAAAATGTCTAGAATGAAAGTGAACTATTCCCATATTTACGTTTTACTATATGGTAACTTCAAGGTAAAAAATATGAAGAAAAACTAGATCAACTAATATTTGGTTTCAAAAAATGTCATATACCTTTACTATAATAATAATTCGAGCAGTTTTCATTATACCAATTATATTTATTTATTGAGTGCTATATGCAAATGCAATGTATACATATAACTATATTCAAGAGATATTATATATTTAATGTTAATTAAATTCTCTTAATAATATTATACTAATTTATCATAGTGAGAATTAATTTATGATATAGATGCATAATATTATTATTAAAGAATTGTTGAAATATAAATAAACAAAAAAACATCAAAAATATATTAAACTACTCAATTAATTTTTTTACATTTATCTTAAAATATAATAACTGATGAGTATTTATAAATTATTTTTATGAAAATAATATTATACTAAGTTATTAATAAAAATATATATATAAGCCAAAAATGTTTTCCTACATCTCAACATAATGCAATTTTTTTTTTTTATACAAATTTAAAAAAATTAATATCGGGTATTTAAATAGAATTTAAAGAAATTCATTAGAATTGAACTAAATTCATACTACTAATATAAAATTCATCTCTTTTAATTTGCTATAATAGGTAATATAATCGTACAAATATATAATATTTACTTATAATTATTGTTTGTGTAGAGATCTGATATTATTTTTTTCTGATTTTCCTCACCCCTAATTTCTAAATCCATAATATAATATAACAAATAAAATGAGTTTCTATCTGAAATAATTATATTAAAGTAACAGACTATTTTTGAAATTTGTTTAATATTTTACACTTTTGAATTAATGGTAGATAAACATGAACAAAGTAAAATGTATATCTAGAAACATCTCAAAGTATTTTGTTTACTCCAAGTTTCAGATGTCACCGAGTCACATACATCACAGTACACAAGTTTTTGAATACGTGATACACTTGTATACATCTTAATATAATGTTGTATCACCAATTGTTATTCTGTTATGTAGACTTCATAACATTTTTTATTCTTATCCTTTTGTTCAATTTCTATCTAAGTTAAGTAAATGAAGATTGTTTGTTCGAGGAGCCACCTTTTTCAAACTATATACATAGACATATCATGCATCAATAACTCCATATACCTTATTAAATTCTAAATAAATAACACAGAATATCATTGTGGTATTTTTAAACGATATAATGAATATATTTTGATTTGAAACAGTTAGAGTTTTATTTTTAAATACTTATTTATGAAAGAAAGAAATCATCTACTATCATCTATATAATAATATGATTTTATAGCGGAGTCTAAATACTAGAAGATATTTTGCATAATTAATTTCCTCTTGTTTTTTTGTATAAACAAGCAATAAAATATCTTCAATTTATTTAACTATTCACTCAGATTTTCGTCAACGATGGATATACTTATATTTATGCTATTTGGATATATAATAACAAATTATAATGATTGTTTGCAATTTGAAACATACCTATATAAATTTGATAAACTAAAATATTAAGAATGTTAACTATATAAGTATAGATATATATTCATTAAAAATAAAATTAGCTTATTAATCACTCTGTACCTACCAAAAAAAACTAAAAAATATTAATAAAATAACATAGAGTATATCACGGTAATGACTTCTGCTTTTCACTCAACGTCTACAATTTAAATTTTCTGAACTTAAAAATATTACTATAAATATTGAAGTGTAAATAAAATATTTAATGCGCTTAACAATTTAAATTAACAGTAGAAAATAATTAAATTTTTATTTTGTATTATTATCAAGTAATGTTGAATAATATAGTACTTTTTAATATTTATATTGTGTAATGAAAAAAATAGCAGTTAGAGATGTTATCAATACAACAGTGCAATTTAGATAATATTATATTTAATCATTATTTTTAGACAGCAATCAGAGCTTGAATCAAAAAGTGACTGTAATGCAGAAAGTGCATACCGGACTAAACATTTTAATTTCCTGTAAGTAAATAGAAAGTAAACTATGAAATGAATATTATTTGTTTAATTTTTCTAGTTCAATTATTTAAGGCACCTCAAATGTCATTAGTAATGTTTTGCATAAATATTAGCACGTCTTTGTTTTATCTTACAAAGTTTCCAAAATTATCTGTGATATCTTATTTTAAACCTATAACTATTTTATAATTATATATAAAAACAAATAAAGAAAAATCACAAAAAAAAAAAACTTAAACGAAATGTAAATTTAAATGCTAATTGAAAATACGTTTTATGCCTCATTTAAAATTTGATAAGCATCATTATACTATACGTTAATAGATAATGCAACGAAAATATATAATTTCATTAGAATTTTGAATAATACTAAAATTAACTATGTTGTATAAAATAAGGTACTTGCTTAAATATTTTTTAAAAAGTATAAGTACTTTAATGAGAACAAAACATTTGAAGTACTGAAAATAGTATTTTTTATATAGATGCCAAACTATATTAATATCATCATGAATTTCATTATTTTATTATTATTAATTGTCATGTTAATGTATCGAAGAGCATAAAATATATGTTGATATTTCATACAGATCGTCTATTGAATCATTTTATAAAATATGGTTAACTTTAAAACATTTATGTAAAACAGCACATTAAATGCATTTTATATAACTGTGAATCGTATTTATTTCTTAAAAGAACTTTTATGGTTAAAACAACTATCATGGATTTATTTGCACAAAAATATTATGGGTAGGTATCTATTTATCCAGAGCCCATGTAGATCATGGTAGACTCTAACTACTGGATTTAATTTATTAAACTTTTAGTTAATCCTTGAATTTTAATAGCACAGAAAAAATTACACATAGTTAAAAATATTTGTTAAAATAAGTATTATATTTTTTACTGTTACATAAAATGTTGATAAAAGATAAGAAATACTCATATTTAAATGGTCTATTATTTTACAATATTAACAGTACTTCACAATAATGAAATTGAACATAACTACTAAAATTAATAGATTTGACTTCGAAAAATATTCAAAGCTCAACAATAAATTTATCGTTAATAGTTCTATTAAGTAGTTCTCTGTTTGACTTAATTCAATATTTCTAAAAAAATTTTGAAATTTATGAATACGAATTGTATACATTATTAAATACACAATATTAGAAATATAAATAAATAATAAAGATAACAATAAGTTATATTTTGGAGGATAAAAATTCTGAAAAAAAAAAGACAATGTCAGTAACTCATTGTTTCAATGAAAAATAATTTTAATTTCTCAAATTAATTAAAAATAGATGAAGATCATTTCTAGACCAAAAAATATTAAATTTTTCCGGAATCGTATCCATTATAAACGATATAACTGTAACATTAATATCGAAGAAGTTATTGGTGTATTTGAAAAACCAAAAGATAGAAAAAAAATTTTAAAAATATGAAGATTTTACAATACTTACAAAAAAACACTACATATATTACACGCATACTTTTAAATATTGTTTAACAATTAATTTTTGACTGGTTATTGTTATTATATTTACTTCAGCCATAACATTTAGGTAAAGGGGCTAGAGGACGTTTCAATGATAAAAAATATTCTGTCAATAAGTATTCCGATGTAAAGGTATTAATTATTATATATAATATAAATTTAAAATATATATATATATATATATTTAAAGATCTTTGTATATGTTATTTATTAGTTATAATTAAATCTATTAATTTTACTTGATATATAATATGTACAATTTTAACCAAAATCATATTTTGATTTACTTAAATTAATGATATAAAATTAAAATTAAAAATATTTAAATTATTTATAAGATATATTATTTTTTTTTATAAGCCAATTTTGATTTTTTTAGTTTTCCATTAAAAATAATTTAAATGATTAGACATAGTATTATCTATTAATAATACAAGTATATATAATATAATTATATAGGAACTATGCATAGTTATAAAAAAAAAAAACAAATTTTGAATATTCGCATTTTTTATAATCAAATTTCCCATAAGTTCAAAAAAAATTCAATAATAAAAAAAGATATTATATATGTTTTGAATAATATTATGTAAAGTAATCGGAGTCTAATTATACATTAAAGTTGCTCACCTCGAACTCAGCGATCATCGGTTAAGAACGCTATTCACTCAAACATAACTATCACTAATACATGTTATCGGGTAGTGTACACTTCGCAAATAATTTTTGCAGAACGATACAATTTTATGTTATATTGATCGTTTTATATTGTATACTTATAACTTAACAAATTTTACCTAGTAAAAAACAAATGTGCATAAAATAGTGTTTGAATAAATTGAATAAGTGTCGGGCGATGGTATTTTTATTTGCGTAACAAATTTAAAACATTTTAAGAACTTAAAAAATAACTTACAATAATAATTTTGCCTGTGTGGTAAAAAATTGTCATCTTTCAACAACACAAGGTAGGTGTAATTTATCAGTATTAATAATATAGTAACACTAGTATAGAAACACTAAATAAAGTTATAGTATTTAGAAAACTAAAGCTATATCAATTTAAACAAGTTATTGTAGTTCTCAAATTTAATCCGAATTTAATAGCTACAATAATATTCAAAATACTTTTAGTGGTTATCAATATTTTTAACGTAAAAAAAAAAAAATTCAACAAAATTATGTAATGTAATAAATTATATTTTTTGGGTCAATATATAGCCCAAAATAGAAAAAAATATTTTTTTACTAGGGAACTGGGAAATCAATTGATGTTGGTCGTAAAGTGCTAAAATTTCATCACATATAGTTTATTAACAAACAAAAATATAGGGTACTACTATAGTTGATAAAAAAGAGAGACTTCATTAAACTAAATTAGTGTTAAATATTCAATAAGTTAAAAATAAGTAAGTAAAAAATAAATAAATAAGCAATGTAAAATAACCTGAACAATAGTTATGTTGTAAATTTGTGTATACCTCATCAATAAGTTAGTCACTGTTATGGGTATGTTAAATTTTTATTCAATTTTAATAACCAGTGTATATCTATACAAAAAATCATTCTAAATAGAAATTATTTGAAAACCTTTATAGTTTATTTCTAATGATATTATATAATTTCTTTTCGTGGCTATTTGTAATTTGTATTGTAGTATACTGCTTATTTCTTTAAGATTAACTAATTATAACTTCACATAATCGTATAATGCATACATTTTAAAGATGTTCAATTAATCTAAATAAGAAATAAATATTAAAAACAAAACAAAATAGGTACTATATTTTAGGTATTGAATAAAACTCTACAATGAATTTTTTTTTTTCAAAATTCTAACTGCAACAAATATAAAAATATATGACAATATTTTATATTTTTAATATTTTTATATTAGATACAATATCAAATTATATAAGTTTTGTATTAAATTCTTAAATTTTTAAGAAATTTAAAATTATTTTTAACTAGTACTGAAAACTTTCCTGAAGTAAAAACTACATCTAGTTTACTACTTAAAATCATCATCAATATTGAAATTTGAAGCATTTTTTGTAAATAAACAGTGTGTTCTAAAAAAAATAAACAAATAAATACATCATTTTAGTAAAAAAAATCAGATTTTTTAAGTAGAGAAAGAAAGAGAATTTAGTATAACACACTTGTAACTTGTCTTTATCACGTTTTTTGCATATACTATGATATACTTTTAAAAATAATGACTATTTATCGAATAATAAAAAAAAAAAAAAAAAAATGAAAGCTCTTAATAAAACACAATAATAAGCTTCGATTGTTGATATTTCTATAAAATGTGTCAATCATTGATTATTATTTTTATTTGTTTTTTTTATATCCAAATAAAATATTAAAAAAACTTCTTTAAAGTAGAACTACAACAAAACTCAATTATTAAAAAAAAAAAAAAAAAAACATCACTAAAAAACCATGAAACCGTTACTATTTTTGCTTTTCGCAGAATTCAAGACGTAAATTTATGTGATTTTCCATGAACACATTTACGGGTAAAAAACTCGAAAAGTTTCATTTATTCATATTAAAGATCAAAAATTGAGTCTGTTGATACTTAGAAATGTGCATCTTACAATTCTCATTATATGAGTACGTAATATCGTTGAACGCAAAATTAAATACGGCATCCTTTAATTTTTTTTTAAATTAATAAATAAATACGTGCACTATCGTATTTATGAAAGAAATTTTAGACACTGCAGTTTTCAGAAAGTTTCCTTTTAAAATGTTATAATATGATTTATCATTGCTTTTAAATTCTATATTGCAATACTTGTCACCGTACTGAGCTTACCGAAACGTGATCTACACTGACTGCACTCAGATTTTATAATATAATACATAATCTGGCTTATCATAATAATAATATTTATACCGCACAAGTTCCAGTATTAAAAATTCAAAATTATATTTTAAATTTCAAATAGAGGTGTATGATTTTAATTGTAAACTATCAAAAATAATATTTTCCTGAAAATGTTAGTAATGAACAAGTAATGAACATTACACATTTTTACAAATTTAATAAAAATATAAATATGAATAGAAGCCATTACATATTAACAATAAACATGAAATCCTACCTTCATCATCATTGTTTCGGGTATATACTGATCCTAAATCTACAAAAATAAATAAATTAAGATTTTATTGTTTTATTATGTGTTAATAAAAATGATAGCTAATAGATAGTTTTTATTTATTTATTTATTTTTATTGTTATTATTATTATATAAAGATATGAGAATTATCAACTTTTTCCTCTAAAAAGTATCAACTAGACTCAGTTTACAATCAAAAATCTCCTTCGAAGTTTTTGATTCGAGCATTTATTTTTACTGAAAGAAGTCTATTAAGACTCAAAAATAAATAAAATATCAAACATCACTGTAAAATCAATACTTTCTTCATTTCGCTTAGAATCTAAAATGTATAAATTACTAATTTATATTACTATCCATTTTAAAGATTATTATTTTTATGAATACAAAATACATTTTTAATTTCATATCTCGAAGTAAAACATTTTTTTAGAAGGATTTAAAAAGTATTTGAAAATCAAACGTCTAACTAATACCTAGGTAATTAATTTATTAAAGTTATTTAAAGTTTATATGGGTAGAGTAATTGATAAATATTTAATGAAACATACTTATAGCTATTCTCTCATCATAGATTTAAATACTTATAATTAATAAAATACTCGTTTAAAATTTAAATTTTATATTTCCAAATTCTAAAAAAATATTCTACTTCGAGATATGAAAAAAAAAGTAACAAATATTAAAAAATTTAAATAACTTTAAAAATTATATCGATAAGAAATTAGTTTTCTTTCAAAAATGTTAATTATTTTCAACATAATATGTGTTTACTGTTGAAAAAACCACTCAGTTTATTATATTTATATATTTGAATACAGTTATATAATTTTGCTTGCACATGTACTGAAGCTTGTGTAAATAATGTTTTATAGCTATAACGAAATACATGTGATCTGATAATAAATTGTATAATCCACAGGTATATTTTATCATTCTCTGTAAAAAAAATTTAAATAATCCATGCATAAAAGTATAGTCATAATTACAATAGTATATGTGTATCTAACTATAATTCGAAAGTATTAAATTGTAACCAATGATTTTCATACCCAACAATATTTCTGATGACAACATAAATATCATGTACATTTAAAGAAAAATTTACTAATGTCCAAAATTTAAATTAGTCGATTTAAACGTTTTGCTAACATGTACGTGTCACTTTCTGTAATTAATGAAGAAAAAAAAACAAGTTTATAACTTATACAGAGAGTTTTCAAAAAATAAGTTTTAAATTAATAAACATTGATGAAACATGTTTTTAATTCATAATCCCACATATTGCACGCTGCACGTAGAATAATAATAGCGGTGTGTTTTAATATAGACTTCTACATTAAGACTGAAAATTAAATTATTTTATAGCCACATTAAATTTCATAACTCTTGAATACATACAATATTATTCAAATATTATAAAAACTCTAGTTATAGATAAATCGATTTATAAGCCATTAATTATGCATTAATGTTTTAAATACTATTATATTAAATATATTGACTACCTATAATAAATAATTACCTAATACAAATAATACAAAAATTTTAAATGCAATAAACGATCGTATAAATAAAGTCAAAAGTATACCATTTTTAAATTATTTAAGACTATTATTTTCATAGATATTTATGATTTATCAATATTTGTTCAACATAATTTGTACTTGAACCTCCGAATAAATTTAACTATATATTGCGATTACATCAGTTGATGTATCCCATATTCCCATGATTATACGTAATTATATTCGTAATTTATTTCCTGGGTAACAATTTTCGTATAAGAATAACGATTATTACATATTTGTTGTTAAAGTTAAAATATAATTACTATCTAATGTTTAAAACAAAATATCACAACTAGTATTAAGCTCTACACCGAAATGTTTTTTGAAGTCTTACTCGACGCTTGCCACATGATGATGAGTAATGAATGTGTAATTTACACGAAAACTTTAACCTATGTGTACAATACAACTCAATAAACGTAAAGCATACTTTTTTTTTTGATAACAATAGTAGCACATTTACCTACTTTAATATATGTGCCTTTACTTTAAAACGTATTTATATTACCATTTACATTTTTAATAAATGTTGTGAATGAATACACAATAATTATTTAATTTATTAATGAATTATTTAACTATTATCAAATGTTTTGTTAATATTCACTGAATTTTAAAATTTACTTTATACTTTGATACAATATTTTGAACTGAATCTAAACTTAATTTTTTTTTCAATATATTAAGACTTCAAGAATTTAAAACTTCTATTTACAATATGTATAGTTTTTTCAATAAATATTCATCAATAATTCACTAAATTGAATTATTAAACATTTTCTGTAATTATTCAATAACAATAATGTATTTAATATTAACAATTTTACTCGCCTTAAAAGAAGGCAGCAAAACACATTAAGGATTGATGAGTTGTTTAAAATTATCTTATAATCATTTAAGAAAATTAAATCAAGAATTTAAATTTTTTACTAGAGTAAAACATTTTTATAATACCTTCCCCCTTCATGTGACAAAATCCTGATTTGCGTATTCTACTGATATTTTTTACCTACAATACAAATTAAATATTATATTAAGTACTGAGACATTTAATTGTATTTTTACTTTTGAGTATTATTTATTTGCATTGCGTAATTCTTCAAATATTTTTATAATTTATAGATATAGTTAATGATTAAAAACCTAAAATTTATTAAAGACTTATAAAATTGTATTCTGATAAAACTTTTTTGAAAATTAGGTAGTGTACTATAAAATAAAAACCACTTTAGTAAAAATAATTAACAAATATTAAAAAGTTTA